CTAGTTGTAAAGGTTTGTTGTAAATACTCTCATAACTTGAAACTACAAATGCAGAATGTGTCATTTCGGACAATTGGTTTCTCTGAAGAAAGCTCTGAGAGTATGTCTGAAGATTGAATGTATCTGCTAACTATAAAATTAGGGTTATTAAGGTTTCTAATTTGATGTCTTGTTTAGTGAAGAGAAAAGGGAAAAGGATCCCGCTACAGATGGGGTTTATACAAGATCTAACCGTTTTAGAGATTAATTAATTAGAATGTCATCAACCAACTCGGTGTATAATTAGCTTTTTTTATTTTATTTTTAACAAATAATATTATTTACACTAATGGGAGATGGTGAGTTTAGCCTCACAATAGGTTGTAATAATATAGCTTAAATTTGCTTTTTGGGGCTAATTAAACATAAGATCTCTCACTTACAAATAAAAAAAAATATCACTAGACTGTAATACTAAATAATAACTTTCTCTCCTTTTATGTTGTGCTATACAAGCGATATGCCAACCATAAATGATAGAGGAACAGACCTCAAAAATACAAAGAAAGAACAAAAGTTAAACTTCTGACACGTGCAAGTCTTGGGAGATTGTCATTGGTTTGCAAAAACAATATATATATATATATATATGCGCTAAGGATGTTATATGGTTAATTTTGCTTCAAGGTAAATGTTAGTTCTGTGTTAGGCGAGCTATGTAGCTAAAGGATAAAGACTAAGACTTGCTTGCATAATTGTTTCAAGAGATGAGCAGTCTTCTAAATATGGTTGTTTTTTTTTATACAACAATATTCTACTTTAGGGGTGGAGAATATTCTTATTTTAAAAAAGGGGGAATATGATTCTCAACACAAATATAACACCTTATTACCGTTTATGTGAATGAAGTTGAGGCCTCTCATATACAAGTGAAAATGAATACTATTTAACCTTAGTACTAGTTGTTGTTGTTGTTGTTGTTGTTGTTGTTGTTTTTTTTTTTTTTTTTTTTTTTTTTTTTTTTCGAAAAGGAGGACAACTGGTGGCAAACTATGATTATCCACTCCTTCCGGGTCGGGGGAGACTATGAGAAATTTCACCTTACCTGTGGCCACAGTTCAATAGACTCACTACCTCAGAACATCGAACCTGAAATCTCCCACATTTATTTATTTATTGAGGAGCTGCATTTCGCTCCCTTAACTGGGCCATGTTGTAGCTCCATAGTACTAGTTGGTTAACATGATTAAGTTTAGTTTAGTGACTACTTATTTTAACTAATGAAGGGACATAGTACCACTTAGGTTTATGGTAAAGGTTGAGGAACATGCATGTATAACTTGGTCTTCAACAAGCGTCAATCTTTATAATAATAACAATTCAACAGGAAAGGACGAACATCTACCGCTTGTATATCATGATTAATGTTTTGTAGGACATATCTTTGTGCACGTATAATATGTAATAACTATTAAAAGATTCTATTCAAGGTAAACCGTATGTGGAACACTAATGAATTTATCATCTCTTTGATGTACCAAATTGTTATATATGCTATGATTGTTTTAAGAGTTTCCATCACTCACAAGACCTTTACAACATTGAATCCATGTATTGTTTTCATTGGATCATACGTGTTTCAATCCACAATTATTATTTTGTATTTTCAGATTTTCGTTCACAAGTACTCTCCTGATCTTGAAATTATATATCTTCTTTAGTCATATGAGTCTTGTATTTGATCCTTTCATAAATGAAATATATATTGTTATCCTATCATGAATGAAATATATATTAATTAGGTGTTATTTTCATTGACGTAAACACAGCCCAATACCTAGACCTATGATCCATAACAAACCAATTCCTCAGTTAAACAATCAGTTTCCTGTAAGCATGCATATATATCAATGTTAGCTTATACCCTAATCTGAGTTGAAAATAAATTGATGACATGCCTAGCTATATACATTATTGCCTAATTAATAATCTTTATCAAGATTTAACACTCGTGTCAAGTAAGATGGCCGGCGGGGCCCAATTTCATAACAGTGCAGCTAGAATTATAGGATTTGAGAATTAGGATCGAAGAGCTAAGAAGATGAACAAATGATGAATGATTTCTGTTATTACACACTGAAGGAATACAAAGTACTTAACTGCTATTTATAGAAATAGCTAACTTACAGGTAAGCAACCGCTCCTAACTCTAAACTAACAGGATGTTGCCACTTGTATTACATAAGATGATGTCATCTGCCATTACTCCCCAACTAGGAAATCCCAGCTTGAGATTGTAAGAAGAAGAATAAAAAATAAAAAAAAACTTTCATATCAAACGGAACGGAATAGAAGCAGAATTCATTTAAAGCTACTGCGCGTACAAATGATATATGCAAACAGTTTCTTCTGATGTTGGAAAGCAGAAGAAGGTGACAGCCTGCCGTTTTTGGATCATGAAATACTTCTACTGCAGGAGTTCATGAATCGATGAAGACGTAGCTATCAATTTCGAAAATCAAATATCAAGAATAGAATATTGACAATTTGTACAGAAAGTCATGATCAGATTGTACTTCAAAGATGATCAAGTGATGCTTATCAAATGTTATATATATAGCGCTAAGATGTTTGTGTTGGTACATGAATAATTTTAATATTCGTTTGTGCGTAGTAATATATATATTTGCGTGTACAATTTACAAGGGATTTTAGAAATATTATATATGCAATTTCTTGGCATATATAAGATTCGAATACTGATTGTGCATAGTAGATATAAGTTGTGTGTGGAATATTATGTGAGGACAGATTCCATTTTTGAAGAATCTAAGGTTTATATCATGATGTAGACAGAAATCCGATTATTACACGTGCAATAAAACTAAAAGAAGGAAGCGGCGAGCAATAAAGAAAAGTGACTAGAGAATTGGTAAGGGAATTGTTATTAGCACTCCAAAAATCTCATTATACATTCTAAACTTTCAATATTAGGAAAGAAAAATACACTTGTAAGGAACGTAGAATGAGATTTTTGGAATGCCAATAACACTTCCCGTTGGTAATTCACGTGTTAATAGATTATTTGCTACGGTCATATCTCGAAAGTTGATGTTTTGAACTTTTCTTGTTGAATGGACGCTACTTTCATGTCTGGTGCGGTCGTAGAAGAGGTGTTCAATCCCATAAAAGAGGTTTTGTAGAAAGTCATCAAAGCAGCAGTCTACTAATAAATGGAGTATTTTGGGGTTTCAAGGGCTTTATTTTATGTCAGTTATTTTCATTTTAATTTCCTAAGTCTTTTGAGTTTTCCAAAAGGTTGTAAAAGGCTTATTTAAGCCATGGCTTTGTAATCATCTTTTCACTTTTTCAATCAAATTATCCTTTGGGATTTTTATCAAACTGGTGGACTCAAATAACTTTGTTCTACAAGGGATTACGCTGGTAACCCTTTCATTGCTTCCTGCGTCATATCACCTTGAAGAAGTTACCTTCCTCACGTAGTTTCTTTTGAAGCATAAAATCAAAACAAGGTTTCTGCCACACATCACCATCTTAAAGATGAGGGAGAACAATGAATGAAAATTAATTAAGTAATAGAAAGGGGAGGAAAATAACTAGTTGAAGTAAATTAATAAGGGAGAGCAAGTGGCCGTTTACTATAGTGGTAAGGAGGAGTGCTGTCCTTTCACCACAGCGTGGATTCGAACTCGGATTTGAGAGGATTTTAAAAGACTTTAAAATCCTAGTGTAGTCAATTAAAAGATTTTAAATGATTTTAGAATCCATTCAAATCTAAGTTTAATCAATTAAAAGATTTTAAAAGATTTTAAATCCATTCAAATTTAGGTGTAGTCAATTAAAAGATTTTAAAATTCATTCAAATCTAAGTGTATTAAAAAAATCAAGATTTTGGAGGATTTCAATAAGTTGTGGATTTTGTGGGATTTGAGAGCTATAACTAAGACTAAAAAGAATTCAACCTCACCCCCTAGAATTTCAAATCCTTCTACCACAATCCATCACAATCCATTCAAATTCTTTAAAATCCATATGAATTTTGTAGGAGTCTTTAATCATCTTAAATCCTATAAAATCTATCATTTTTAAAATCCCTTAAAATCTTTTAAAATCTTTAGTTTGACTACACCCCCTAACATCTAATCTAACAAATCTATCGTTTGACAAAAATAAAAAAAATTAACAAGGGAGACATTCTTCATTCACTAAATTTTAGTGAAAAGAATCTCAAAGACATGTACTAATCATAAACATATTACATACACACACACACACACACATTAGATAAGTGGAACTTTCTCTGGTAATTAGTAATGTCCAGTTAAGAGTACACGAGACTCGGTACTCTCTGATCGATGAAGTGCAGAAATGGGCCTAGACAAACCTATTAGAATCCAAATAGAGAAGCACAGAGCTAGCTAGGGTTTCGGGGACCATGCATATTTGAACAGAAAGAAAATCAAGAAAAAAACTAGCAGTACTACAGTTTGTTTTTTTAATTAAAAATAAATAACTAAATTTACTAATCTTAATTTCTCTCAGCTGCTTGATTCACTCCGTTCCTTTACTTCTGTGAAGCCAATGTGAGAGAGAGAGAGAGAGAGGAGATTCACTCCATTCCTTTACTTCTGTGAAGCCAATGTGAGAGAGAGAGAGAGAGAGAGAGAGAGAGAGAGAGGAGGGAGTGAGAGTTGAGGTCAGTTTGTTCTGGTTGTTGCCTCGAAAAAGAGCTTTACAGAGCAATGCACGTGTGACCCAGTATCCAATGTCCGTGTCGATCGACCACCTCCATAATAAAACCCTAGCTATCCAAATCACTCGGTCAGAGATTCAGACAGAGAAAAAACCCTCAAGGCCGCCTCTCTTTCTCTCTCCACCACATTTTCTTGGGATATTAAAAGACGTTTTCACCAACCTTGAAACAGTCACGAACTTAAGAGTTACAACAAGCGTCTTTAACTTCCACAATAGCATTGTTACCAAAAAAAAAACTTCCACAACAACATCAGTAACTGCTTCTAACAATAACAATGAAGAGAAGAAGGAAAATAAATAAAAATTCTGAGCGTGGGAGTCGAAAGGAATACACAGGAAAGTGTGGGTCGTGTAATGATGATTGTTAACAGTGAAAATAAAGGAGGAGAAATAGGGTATTGTAAGACACGAGTAAATCACCCAATTAAGAACTGCAGAAAAAAGGTGAAATAGATGCCAACCTTTTTCATAACATGCTGCTGCTTCATCTCTATGCAGCTACAATCACTTGCGGTGAATTGAAAGTAACTATATATATTCCACTAATAAAAAAACCAAAACAAACCCCCCACCAAAATCCACCATTTTTGACATCCAATTCTTCAATCCAAACACCCATTGACGATGAATTAATACCATAATGACCAACTAATCAACATCTTCAATTAACTATTTAATTAAACACAGAACTAAATTTTATAAAATAAGAAGAATGAGCAAAAGCTGTTTAATTTGCAAAAAAAAGGAGAAAGAAAGGGATCCATCGATCTGAGGATTGAGAAAACTTAAAACACAAGTAAACTTCTTTTTTCTTGCTTAATTGATCAGTCAGTCAATAAGGAGGTCGTGCCGTTCCCCAATATGCATCGGCAGGCAATTGGTTTAGTAGACTTTGTGGCATCCCATGAAAAAGCGATGGTGCATTAGGATCTTCCAATAGTTGTTGTTGCTGCTGTTGATGTTCTTGCCCACCAACCCCTGGAGATCCGAGGGACCTTCCACTTCCTTGTACTTGCCCTGCCGCGGCGAGCTCCTCTTCCTCCTCCAAGGGCAGCCTCTCGTAAGCCGCATTCCCAAAAGAGCCGGCCATGATAACAACCGGCCCTGAAGCCAATAGAGGCCCTACCACGGGGCCACCAACGACTTGGCCTTGTCCGCCGGCTAGGTAGATGGTCAAGCCTGACGTGGCTGGCGGGGCGGGGGGCGGCAAAAAGGACCCAGAAAGGGACAGAATTTCAAACCTGCCGTGTAGAGTGACCACAGCTCCCGGAGAGGCCGGCTGCCTTAGAGTGACATTAGTGACGGTTCCACTGCCGCTGAGAATGCAAACCCCTCTCTGTTTACGCCTTGCGAAAGTGGAGACGCTGTCCATGATGTCGCAGCCGTTGGCGACTTCCATGACGTGGGATCGGAGTACATTGGCGCTGTCTCGGGTTATGATGATGGGGGGCTTGGCCTTGTTTTTGGAGCCGGTTGGACGGCCACGGGGCCGTCTGGTGATCTCGGCCTCTCCGGCGCTGGTGTACCCCAGTTGATCCTTTCCCTCCAGAGAGGTGGTAGCGCCCGCGGAGTTCTCATCTCCACCGCCGCGATCACGTTTGATTCCACGGTTGATTCCGCTGCTGTTTTGCTCGTCCTCGGAGTTTTGGTGGTTGAGGTGGTGGGGGTGGAGTTGTGGGAATTGGTGATGAGGATGTAAGTGAAGGTCTCTTGAAAGAAAAGGAGGTGGGACTGGACGTCCACGTGCTGCAATTGGATCCATATCTTCTTCTATACTTCTCAAAACCTAGCTAATTTTAGCTCAAGCACCTACAGCTTTCTTTCTCTAGGAAAATTTTGAGAATTAAGAGAGAGAAAGAGAGATTTCTTCTTCTTTCTTCTTGTATTTCCTTCTTTCTTTTGAGAATGAAAAGGGAGGGTTTTGTTATCAGAAAATAAAAAGGGAAAGGGTTTTAATTTTTAGGGCATATAATTACCCACCAAGTACTTAGCTGAAAGAGCTGAAGAGATATCATCAAATCATCTTTCTTCTTCCTTCTAGTTACTTGTTCTTCTCATGCATCATCAGCTCATCTTTTTATCATGTGAAGCTAATTGAAAGTAGTTGGTCTTGGTTAAGGGTTTGGGAGAAATAATTAAGAAAGAAATTGAAAGAGGTGAAGTATGAGAGAGAGAGAGAGGGAGAGAGTTGGAAGAACTGCTAAGATTGGAATTTGGGCTTTGGGGTTTTTCTTTTGATTGAGAAGACTTTTGAAACCTTGAGAGCTGAGAGAGAGAGAGAGAGAGAGAGAGAGAGAGAGAGTGTTGAGTTGTTTGGCCTTGTTTTTCAGAAGTTTTTGGTTTTTGGTTTTCGGTTTTCGCATGTTGTTTTTGTTGATGAATGGCAGTGCCGTTCCCTTGCTGGCTTAAAAATTTGTTTAGGGTTAGGTCAGAGGAATTAAACTGGATTGAAATTTTTTATTCTGACAGGAACATGAATAGTACATCACGTGTTTTTACGTAAGTGGTGGGAAATTTTATTTTTTAAGTTATTAATTTTTTAATACACATATCTCATTATTTGTATAATGACACATTGACACATGATGTATCATCTTGTGTACCAATCACATTGAAAAATCTCTGGATGATGTGGTATCATGGATTCAATTTGATTGGTAGATGGATGCCCTTGATTGAAATCATATTTTCAGATGGGTTTTGGTTTTTTGGTAAGACAGCGTGCCCATGGCGGTGTGTGGGTCCCACCTTCATCTCCTTTGTCTCTTACCGCACTTCCAGTGTTGCTAGGCTCCCTATTCTAGAGGCAACCAATTCCTTAAAATAAATAGTAATTGCTTCTAATGAACTGTAACTGTTCAAGTGCATTTTCATCCCTAAACTAAATAGTCAAGACAATTCGTAATAAAATATTAGTATTTTTAATTAATTTTTTATATTTTATTTTATTTTTAATTAATTTATATTAGTATTTTATAATTTTTATTAGTGGCTGACGTCACCACAAGGTCAGCCTTGTGTTATGTCCCTCATGCGTTGGGGCCGTGTATTTATGCCTAGTGGAGAGATCGAGCTTGCTTGGAGCCCAAGCTAGTTGAATGGGCTGGAGCCAATTGTTGGGGCATTGGGCCATTTAATAGCCAATCCCTAAGGGAATTCGGGCACGCTGGAAGTGGTCTTGCTTTCCCTCCCTCCGGATAGACCCAGCAGTTTTAGACACGACAAGGTGGCACGACATGAAAACAATACGAAAATAACAGGTTTTGAGTCAACATGATAACCAATCAGATGATTATCGGGTGACCCGTTAAGAACTCGTTCATAACGGGTTCTTAACTGGTATACACGCAGGTAATATGTGGGTAACTCGTTTCGATCCGTTAAGAAAAAAATTATTTTGATAATTTTAAAGTTTAATTACTAAAAGAATTATTATAAAATACAATCGCCATATTAATATATACAATATATTCTATATTAAATATATAGTTTTGTATTATTATTCTACATAAGTTATAAAAAAAAAAAAAAAGTTTTAGTCATTATTTATTTTTATTATGAGAGTTCCTTATTATCATTACTAGGACAAATTTTACTTAACATGTTGTTGTCCAAAATTAAAATAAAGGTTAATGTACAAAAAATTACCTCAACTATTAGGGTCACGACAGTTTCATACCTCATCTTTTAAAATTGACAATGTCATACCACATCTTACGAATTTGTGACAATGTCATACCTCCGTCAATTTTTCTGTTAGTTTTTCTGTTAAATGCTGACGTGGCAAAAGACGAGGACCACTTTCTATTAAAAAATTAATAAAATATTATTAAAAACTAAAAAAAATATTTTTTAAATATTAAAATAATAAATAAAAGTAAAATTAAAAATAAAAGGGTAAAGTACAAAAAACTACCTCAACTATTGGGGTCACGACAGTTTTATACCTCATCTTTTAAAATTGACAATGTCATACCGCATCTTACGAATTTGTGACAATGTCATACCTCCGTCAATTTTTCTGTTAGTTTTTCTGTTAAGTGCTAACGTGGCTTGATTCGGGACCTACTTTCTATTAAAAAATTATTAAAAACTAAAAAACAATTATTTAATATTTTTTAAATATTAAAATAATAATAAAAAGCAGAAAAAAAACCCTCATTCGTCCCTCCCCTCCCCCCTCCTCCCTCCTCTCTCCTCTCCCCATCTTCATCTTCTTCCCCCACCTGCAAATCCCAACAAAAAAAAAAAAACCCAGATCCCGTTAGCGGGAAGATGGGTGAGCAGAGAAGGTGGAGGATGGGTGCGGAAGAGGATGTGGAGAATGGATGAAAGTGGTGGATTTGGGGTTTGATGGGTTTTCAAATTTTTTTTTTTCCTCTTCTTCTTCTTCTTCTTCTTCTTCTTCCGCAGGGGAGTTGATGGTTTAAAAAAAAAAAAAAAAAATTTCCTTCCTCCTTTTTTTCCTCTTCTTTTTCTTCTTCCTCCTTCTCCTTCTCCTTCTCCTTCTTCCACAGGGGGGTGTTGATGGGTTTTCAAATTTTTTTTTATTTTTTCTTCCTCTTCTTCTTCTTCCTCCTTCTCCTTCTCCCTTCTTCTTCTTCCGCGCCGACAAGGGGGAATATTTTTTTTTTCCTTCCTCCTTTTTTTTCCTCTTCTTCTTCTTCTTCCTCCTCCTCCTCCTCCTCCTCCTCCTTCTTGTTCTTCCGCAGGGGGGTTGTTGGGTTTTCAAAGTTTTTTTATTTTTTTTATTTTTTTGGGTTTGCAGGTGGGGGGAAGAAAATGAAGATGGGGAGAAGAGAGAGGAGGGGGGAGGGGGAGGGGAGGGACGAACTGATGGTTTTTTTTAATTTTTTTTCTCTGCTTTTTATTATTATTTTAATATTTAAAAAATATTAAATAATTGTTTTTTAGTTTTTAATAATTTTTTTAATAGAAAGTATGTCCCGAATCAAGCCACGTGAGCACTTAACAGAAAAACTAACAGAAAAATTGACGGAGGTATGACATTGTCACAAATTCGTAAGATGCAGTATGACATTGTTAATTTTAAAAGATGAGGTATGAAACTGTCGTGACCCCAATAGTTGAGGTAGTTTTTTGTACTTTACCCTAAAATAAACTAGTACAATATTTGTATAGACAATAACTAAGAAGACATACATACAAGTATGAAAAATGTGAAAGAATATATAAACACTCGTAATTCATCATTATTCCTCCACGAGTAGATAATGGTTACACTTACATTATCGTTTAGATTTTTAAAATCCTCCAAACCCTCATGAATAATGTTTTTTATTTGAGGGCAAAATTAATAATAAATATTGTAGAAGTGTAAAAAATGTAAAAAAAAAAAAAAAAAAAATACAATCACTCATAGTGACAAGGTTTACAACTTTCATGAAAGGGTCAGCTTCGATTTTTATTTAACTATTGATTGCCATTTATACTTTATTCTTCTTACTGAATTTCATTTTTAAAATTTTCTTTTTTGAAAACATGATCATCTGGCGGATGTAAGAAGATGAACAATTCAGATCTTTGATATCACGTTTCAATATTTACGGTTAACTGAAATATAAGTCGATGTCATATAGTTTGTATAAACTTTATAAACATCAAGCAATATTTTCACTAACCATAAAACTCTGAATATAATATCAACGATCCAAACCGTTCATCTTCCTGCATCCTCTAATAGATCATGTTTTCAAAAAAGAAAATCTAAAAAAAACAAAATTTGATGAGAACAATGAAGCATAACATAAACAACAATCAATGGTTAAATTTTGATTTATGATTTATATGTTTATAGTGGCGAATTTCGAAGATAAGCTCTTCATGAAAGTTGTAAAGCTTGTCATTACGAGCGTTTATACATTTTTTCTATATTTTTTACACTTCTACATTAATTAAAAAACTATTAAAAACTTTACTTAAATAACAGCTGTAAGATAAATGATTGTAAATCTGTACCGTTGGATTCTATTTCACTTATATTATTAGAACTTTTTGGACGAAAAAACCCTTTCTCTATTCCAATATTTTCCAATTTTACCATTTGATCAATTTAGGTAAGCGAAAATATACTTAAAAGACAAATGAGATTTTATGTTTTGGATGTGACAATATGGTATGTATATACTTATTTAGTATTATGTTTTTCATTTGATTATTTATTGGTTTAAAATATATTTTCCTTAACGGGTAACTAGTCGGGTCATATTACATGTTAATATTATCAGGTCGATTTCGGGTCGGGTCATTTTACCCGTTTATTTTAACGGGCGTTACACGACAAGAACCGTTAAGATATCAGGTATGACACGAACACGAAAAACACGACACGAATGCCAGGTCTACCTCCGGGGGCCAACGTCGGATACCCATGCTCCTTAGGATGTCTTTTTCTTCTTTTTTTTGTCTTCTTCTCAGCTACATGTGAGATGAACTTAATTAATTAATTAATTAGGGTAATCTTAGTTTACTACTCATAAATTTTTTGGTTTTCAACATTTGATACATGAAGTTTTTGATCCTAGAGTGGTACCAAAAGTTATAATTTTGGGACACTTTTATACATCTGTTAAGATCGCTGTTAAATCAGTTGTTAACTGGTGAAGTGGCACCTACGTGGACAATGATTAAGCATCACATGTAAATATGAGCCCATCTAAATATTAAATAAATTGATAAATTAAGAAATTAATAAAATTTAAAAAATAAAAAAATAAAAAGAAAACTAAAAGAATCTGAGTGTCGTTTTCTACCTCACCTCACCCGCCGCTTCCGCCAAACCTCCCTCCATTCTTTCCTCTGTACCCACCCAATTCTGACTCATCCCTTGCAACTCCACCTTTAGAGAGGTACTGGGCGGGGATGCACAGAGAGATCGACTGCGGGAACCACTCGAGATTACTCAAGGGCTTCTCAACGGGCCCAAAAGCAGGCACGACAACGGGCTTGGGTGGCTCATCAGGCCTTGTCCAGTTCTCTAGCTCGCGATTGGGTTGCCTTTCAAGGAAGAGGATGGGCTGGGCATGACGTTGCTCTGAGCTCTGCAAAGTTGCTCCGCCTTCTGGTTACAAGTAGGCTTGGCCCAGGCTTAGTGTGAGCAAGGCGACTGTCCGGGGCCCAAAAAAATTGGGGGCACCAAAATTATTAAGGTG